CACGCCACCGTGCTAGCCAGGTGCTCTATAAATACTATAAATACTATAAATACTGCCGCACTGCCTCTCAGCTTCCTGCTTTCTCTGTCCAGGAAGTGCAGAGGCTTTGTACTCAATTAAAAACTAGTCCCAGATGGTGACAAAGTAAGAATTTTGAAAACAAGATTCAGAAGCCTTATGGAATATCCCTTTCTAGAATGACACAAAAAAAAAAAAAAAAAAAAGGAGAATGACTCTTTTTGGAAGACCTTCCCAAATTCAGTGAAATGCAAGACAAGCTCCCAGACATTCTCAAGTGTGCATCAAAGGTCTGAGCCACTGGCCAGCAACACAAAATATGTATTTTTTTAAATGTATCACAAGCTTTCCAACCTTCCTGAGTGATCCCTAACTTCTCACACCTTCACTGATCTCAAGGCGGAAAAAGTACTGAACAGACAAAATGAATGGGAAAAAAATAAATCAGAAAATCCAAACCAAACAGAAAAATACAAAAGATAGCTTCAGCGTAACAATTTTCATGTGATGGAGACTTCCAGAAAAGCCTGCAGTCACTACTCACAGTGGGTCAGTACACTTTAAGGTATTTACTAACAAGTTTGGGATATTCGCTTTGGCTTCAGCATTTAATCTTTAAAATCTCTGAACTCATAATGCAAGCCCTTGTATCAGTTTCTAGTTTAAGACCCAAGCTATTGCTTTACTGTACGTTAAAGCAATATTTGAATATGGACTTGGGAACAGCCTTCACCAGCACACAAAACTGCTTTTGTAGGCCACAGACTCGTGATCCGGGAACCAAACTTAATGTAAGATAAACTCTGCTATTACATGAGAAACAAAAATATTCCTGAGAAGGAAAGACAAAGATGGAAGATTAGCACAGCAATTATCATTACGAAAAGTAGGAAACTAATTTGAGTTTTTAATTCCAACCCTTTTAAGGTTGTTTAAGTGCTGAAGACAAATCCGCCCTGAAGGCCAGCCTACTACCTGTTCTCATTTAACTTGTTTGGAAAATACTTGCCTTGCAATAAGAGAGTAAAGAGACACGGGGTTGTTAAGTGCTCTGAGTATTGTCTTACAAGTATTTAAAGAGATTTGTGATAATGAGCTCTTCTAACAAAGGCAGGCAAGATTCAACTGCTGAAAAATTAATTTAAAAAAAAAAATCAAAATGGAAAGATTTTTTTTTAAGAATTAGCCTAACTAATTCACGTAGGAAATGGTCATTGTAAAATCAGCAGTAGATGTTTAACACATCTTGTCTCCAGTTTCACTGCAGCATCCGTACGGACTGCGCTTCTGCTACAGCCGTTCTCCGCACTAGCCCTTACCAGGCTCTGCCCGTGGGTCTCGCCAGAGGGTGTTTCCCACGTGCGTAACCACCTTTAGCCTCTGTCCTCACTTCCAAACTGCGAGGCAGAGCAGCACGAGGACCGAAACAGTAGAATGATGCTACGAAGGAGCGTTCCTCCACCAGCTGCAAAGGGTTTGTAAAGAACGTTGTGTGGATCTAATGCCTCTTGCTCTGTCCGCTGCTCTTGACCTCCCTCACAGGCGTGGTTGTGCGCAGCACGAGGATGCTCACCATCATTAGAGGACCTTTAAAACACATAAACTTAATGGAAACGGAGCATTTACTACAGTAATTCTGGCAGAAACTTAAAATTACCATCTCACTGTTTGGGTGTTTTTTCCTTAGACAAGTATCCTTACGTGCAATACATGCGAAGGGGTATGTGATCGCTGGAAGTTCACTGTTGAAAAGGTACGTGAAGTTTAGAGGGGAGGAGGTGAAAAAAAAGCCAAGCACCTGGAAAACACTTCATTGCTTCTTTATTTAGATGCACCCACAGTACAGAGCCTCTTGAGCATGTGCAAAAGAGGAGGATTACACATTTATAGCTGGGAGCACCATTGAGTTCGAGTGTCTTTGATACCGTTTTTAAGAAAGTAAACTATTTCCAAAGAATGACATTTGAATCCAAGAGCTTAAGACCTGCTTGTACTTTATCCAGAGGTGGAAGGTATTTTTCTGTTATTATTACTTCGATGTAGAGTAGAAGACATTTTCACAGTCTGGTTGGACCAGTCTATATATTTTCATATGCACCTTTTAATATATATAAAAAATGTTTCATTTTTCCCCCTTACCCATAGATAGTTAAATGCATCTAAGTTTAAAAACAGTAATGGACCAGAGCATTCCTATGGGGAAAAATGAACTTTTGCTGCCCTCTCCTGCTTAAACAATGAAATGCTAAAATATTAAGATCTATGAATCTAATGCTAACCTTGAAACAAAAAGCATGACAGGTCATTCGCTATACTACAATCAAAAATAGGACAACAACAAGAAATGTATCGGTACTATTTATATTTGAAAACTCCTCATCTTTACATGAGGTTATGAATACAACATATTTACAGTAAGTGATCCAAATAACAAAAACTTGTATTTAGAGAGGTCATGATAAAAAGTGTGCGCTCCTGTGGATAGGAAGCAACACTCGGATAAAAGTTTTCAATCAAAATTAGTTCCATTCTGTTTCAAGATACTGTTTCATAGACTTCAAAACAACAAAAAAAAATCCTGGGCTGTACAAAATCTGCTGCACGTAACAACTAGAAAAACTAATTCGTGGCTCACTACAGAGCTGCTAAGGGAAGCAGGTGAGCCAAAATAAAAAAGCCACATGTAAGTAAAAACATTCTTCAATCTTGCACATTGTCATCTTTGTCGTCTTTTAGGGCAACTGCTTTGGGATGACACCATTACAGAGTTAAGAGAAAAGGCCATCTTTGTTTTCCAAGACAGAACTAAAAGCAAATTATTTCGGTATTACTTGGGGGGAGAAGAATCTAGTCTTTCCCCCTCCTCACAAAACAATAAAGAGTTTTTTAAAGCTCCTAATATATTTTCCTTTCTGCAGAGTGAGCGAGCCTAAGGCTGTACTTAGGCACATATAATGTAAGTACAGCTGCTGCATTTCTTACTCGAGCAATTCTTGGCTCTAACACCCTCGATTTTTCCATATATAGGAGGAGACAAAAAAAAAATTAAATCCTTTTATTTATGCTAACAAAACCAAGATTAAATTTACTGTAACCCTGCTAGCGAACGTTCCAATGGCATTAGAATACTTTTATTTAAAGCACTCCAACCTTTGGAAGAGAGACAAAAACCACTCAAAAGCAATGAAAGGAAAACAATAAGGGAGACTTGCAAGATGAAGAAAGCAATGTGTGCTCAATTTAAAGTATACGAGAGGAACTTTACTTTTACAGTTGTTATATCCCCATGACCTGATGCAATGCCCTAGTATTGAAAACGCAGCTCTTTCCTTTTACCAGAGAGCATTCAATCCTTTCTCCTGAAACCAATATGGTACAGGACACGAGCGACCACCCAACAACTGCCGTACGAGCAGTTAATAAAAACATTTACACAAATAAAGGTAGTTTCTGGAACTCAAGAAGCAAACGAAAGCATAATTAAATAGACGCACTGATCACACTTGGGCCCATACGCTGCCTTCTTCGTTGCCTACAACTCCAATCGATAGCAATGGGAGCTCTGCAGAGTGGCAGGACATCGCATTTGGATTGCGGCAAACAGTGGATCCCGGGGGTACGGTCGTATCATTGTGGCAAGTGCTTCTTCACGTGCATCGCACAGTGCAACCTAGTGTCGTATCAGCCTTTTAGAGTCAAGTGACTAATATCACATCGTCTCATTCACTTTAAAGAAACATTCCTTCTCGGAAGTGATAAATCATCTATAAACTTTAGATACTCCCCACTATCCCCACATCAGAGGTAACATCAGAGGTAACAAAATATTGCAACCCATCAGGTTCTCATCAGTTTTGTATGATCAATACCAGAATGTCATGTCAAAACCAAAAATAGTCATGAACAAACAACACTCACCTAAACTCTAAGTACAGGACAAGGTGCTTTTCCTAATTTCACATTGTTGAGTTTTACTCCACCAGGTGGAAATCATTAATCTTTTTTCCTCCGTTCTATCTCAGTTTTTCACAACTGAACATAGTCTTTAAGCATGAGTGTAAGTCCACCCTCTCGTAAAGCATGATCATTTCACACAGAAATCACACTAGCAAATATTTTTTTTGATAACAGAAATAAAAGACTGTCAAAATCAATGGGCTAAGGGACATGATTTGTTATAAATTTATTTAATCTTCAGTATTTCAGCTTGCACCTTTGCTTCAGCACTTTAAAATAAAATGTTTCAACTAAGACAGTAACTGCCTAATTTACATTGCGTCCCAGTCAGTGTTCTTAAAAGAAGCTCCTATTAATCCCATTAAACCACATTGTGTTTGGTGTTGCATACGACTAGTTCCACCTTTTGTTTTCCAGAATTAACAGTGTCAAGTTTTTACAAAATCGTTGCGTTTACAACATTTGTGTGCGCAGACTCAGGAGTACAAACTGTGACCTGATAATCCTGAAACAGTCAGTAGTCTAGGAGGGAATTCCTTTTTACTTCTTTTCCGTGCCTGAAAACAAGAAAACTTCAAATCCTACTGTATATTTAAATGGTAGGAAGAAAAATATACAAGCTTGTATTTATACCGTATTTCTATCAATGGCAACAGGTCATAAATTCATGTTTGCAACTATCACAAAGACTCATGAACACCAATTCAGTTTTATACTGTAAATACTGCTGGATTGATGGTTTAGGATTATCAATTCACTGTTGTCATATGTCTATAACAGTTCAAAAGCATCCTGGAGAAAAATCCTGAAACACATACCTTTCGGTATATAATAATGCAACTGCATTAGCTAAATATATACTGTACATAAGTCTTATCAGCATTTTACCTACCAAAGATGTAAGATTCCACTTTCAAATACAAAGCAGATAGCCAATAATGTATATTTATAATACAGCCCTCTTCTTTGTTTTTGTAGGGTTTTTTTTTTTTCTTTTGTTTTAAACAATTTGGTCACAATGCACCTTTGATATAAAAGCATTTTAAACTTTATTATTAATACTCAGAACATTAGGATTTCCAGAATTTTTTTTCAGTAGCATTTGTAGAACCTCTTTTGGTAACAAATACAGTAGTTAGGAATGAGCATCCAGATGAGAATGCAGAAGTATATTATCCAGAATCCTTTCCAGCTAAGACCATAGGGCTGGTACTGTGATGAGTAATAGTACTAGAACCACAAAAACACTATAGTATGTTTCTTAGAGGCTACATCCTCTTTTGCTGGAACACTTTATAAATACATATTAAAAAGTAAGGCAACAACTCCAAACAGTCCAAACTGCTATCTCAACTCAACTTCCAATTAGATCCAGGACCCCTGGAGATCAATTTCATGCTTGCACTGTTTAGCGTTTGTCTTTATTCTTTCAAAATGGTCCAATAAAAACATACTGTAATAATTTAGCAATTAGTATTTCTAAAACAACTCTGGTATGTGTGTCCAATGCCATTATCACTAATACTGGTTAGGTACTGAAGTCCAGGGTGTTACCACTGCACATTTTTAAAGGATTGTGGACACTAATTTGGATTTGCAATAAATAGGTGCGTGAATCCAAAGCTCCCTTTCCTACTATGTTTATCACCTACTTGTTTTTTAACTCCTAATGTTCAAATTAAGGAAGCACCAGGGACAGCCTGGTACTAAAAAAATGCTCACACCAGTAAACAAAACTTTTATTCAGGACCTATGTTCTTCATGGCCCTGATGTGAATGGACATTCAACTTATGAAGATGTGCAAAAGGAAAAAAAGTCAAATTACAGTAAAGTTATCCAGAGAAGGAGGATGTTACACAAACTCATAAGGAAATGACAGTCTTTTTTCTCTTTTACTATAAATACACTTAACAGTTTAGCAGAAAGACAAGCTAAATTTTAAGATTGTTCACATTTGAAAGTTGTATTATACTCTCTGCTAACGATAAATAAGGAACAGGTCCTGACAATGGAATTTGACATTGCAATTTTCATCAACAGATCTTTGAAGACTGGTTTTAAAGAAGGGTTAAAACAATGATTATGTTTGCAAAGTTCTGCGAAGTCCATCTGCTGTCCAAACTTTGGATTAAAGTCCTTATTTTTTTCCTTTACTTAGAGACAGGTATATACAGTGCTGTTGTAATAATGAAACAAATGTGAAATCTACTGTAAAGTTGCACAATACAGAAAACTGTTGCTCCATCTTCTACTACATAAATGTGTGACTCCACAGGTTAATAATGCTGTTTTGTTTTTTTGTTAAGTTGGAATTATTCCATCACGTCTAAGACCTCTCTTTAATTCCAAATCCTCCAGTTTTTTCCACAGTTCTTCACGCTCTTTCTCTTTCTTCTTCTCACTGACAGATGAAATAAAAAAAGAGTTAGTTAGGAGAGAAGACTGAGGAATATTTATGTTAAAAAAAATTACGGCTGACATTAATTAGCAGGGCTAATTTTGTTGAACACAACTGCAATTTTCCTAACATATATTTCATTTTTGTAATTTTTTTTCTTTTTTCTTTTTGTTACCTACATGATATCGCTAGACAAAGTGGTAGGAAAAGAACATAAAACACAAGCTGAACAAAGTGACAATGTTCATGGATGCTGATTTGTAACACAAAAGAAAAAATGCAGTGGACTTTTATTATGGAACAAACATATCATGATTATAAAAATTAACATTTCAGGACTACCTTGCATGTAATTATTTTCAAGTTTGTTTATTTAAGCAAAGTATTTTTTAGTCTTATAAATAACAGTCACTTACTGGCACGAGCATTCCCTTATTCTTTTAGAATCACTGTTCTTACTTACATTGACTGGCGGCTGTCCTATAGCTTAGGCACCAGCCAAGGGAAAGTTCAAGTTACAAGACGTGTCTTTTGTACAGTGATTTACTTTCTTTTCTTACCAAATTCCTCCAAGAAGATCTATGTACCAGTTGCTTTAACAACAGACTTTAATGGTTGATTTGATAAAATTAAACAGCTAACCTAACATTTACTTTACTTGCATTATTTGCTTTCTAAATTTCCTGTCTCTGCATAGCTTGCTTTGAATAAACCTCCTTGATATTGCAAGGTACAAAATGCTTTCAACATCTATTAAATCACCTTGTACGTTCACATTAAATGCAAATCTAACAATTATAGAGCTACAAATTCTCTGCCAGTCACATAAGAGAATTCTTGAAAAATATTTCAGTGGATTAGAAACATTCCTACACATCTTGATTCAGTCAAAGTGCCAACATCTGGCTCATTTATTTGTAATTTTAATTTCCCAAAAATATTTTAAACATATTAAAAAAATACAAACAACTGTCAGATAAATCCCTGAAGAACAGTTTAAAAAAAAAAAAACCAAACCAACCAACCAAAAAAAAAAAGACCCCACTGCAACTAGAAAGTATTAAAGTATTTAAAATTAAATATAAGAATAAGTGAAATAGCCTGACATTTTCAGGCTACTTACCAGATATTTATCTTCTAATCATTATGAAATATATGCCTGCTTACCTAAAAGACTGTTAGAGGATGATCACCTCATCCAACTTACTTATCTGACCTATCATAGTCATTAATATTGAATATATTTCTCCTCAAGCTTTAAGTGGTATCAAAGGTACCCTTTTGAAATGTGGTTTTATTAAGATGCTACAGATTTTTTGTAAACTTTAAGGTAAATATCCCAGTTCATACATTTAGGTATTTACATGTTTTAAAATTGTAAGTAGTAAATGAAAATGGTGAAATGGTTAGCACCAGCCTTGCTAGAAGATAGAAAGTCATTAGAAAAATTCTTAGTGCAGTCCAGTCACTAAACCTCACCCGTTATCCAGACACGGGACATACTACTACAGTGTCAGGTCCTGTTAAGAACAGAGTTCCTCACCTTGAGGGGCAAAGTAGAATCGCAAATGGATTTAAGTCACTGAGGTCCCTCAGTAAAAGGCCGGATTAGATGACCAGCCCTAAGCTTCTCTGCCTTTCCTGCTAGAAAACCAGGCAGTTTTGTCTCAGCTGCCCTAGCAGATTGAGCCTTATTCATCAACACCTACCTAGAATTCATCTGGCATTTTAGTTCAAGTATGGATCTAAGTCTCTAAAAGTAAAATGCTGTATAATGAGCTAACCTGTTAATTGTAGATTTTTTTAATGTATAAAACTTTGTATTTTACAACAATAAAGTGACCAAAAGGACAATGTGACTCCAGTCACACAATTAAAAAAATATGGCCTTTAGAGACTATACTACCCTAACAAGGTCTGATGACATACAGTACCCTTTGCTTTGCATGGGGGAACCCTGAGTTGCGGAAAAGGTATGAGTTAAATGAAGTTGCAAACTGCTCAGAGTTCCTGAAGCTTCCTCATTTTTTTTTCACCTGACGCTTTGAATATGCCAAAACTTTTGAGAAAAGATGTTGCACTATAAATGGAAAATGAAGATTAAGGAAAATAGGAGAAAAGACAAAAAGAATTTTACTAGGGTGAGCTAATGATTGTATGAGTGGTGTATCTAACGGATCTTGCATGCTAAAAGAGTCAGATACAGCAAGACCTCTGAATAAGAAATGAAAGGGTTGAGAGACGTCTCTTTGCTTTAAGACAACATCTAGCCTACAAATAGTAGTTTGGAAAATCAAATCTTAGTGTTTTCCCCTCACGTCTCTTTCCAAACCTCAGTGAGACTTTTTTTTTTAATTCTTTAAGCAAAGTGTTATCTCTAAACCTTTGTTTTTCTTTTATCATTGAAGATCTTGACACATTTAAGTCTTTTGGAATGTGGAGTCAAAAGGAATTCCATGAGGAATGCAGATTCCCGAGTAACGCAACGGGTACTGTATTTCATAAGGGGTAAAGAACAACCTGTATATGATATTACCTTACTTCTTGCAAAGAGAAGGCTAAAGAGCATGCAGGGGAAAAAATGAGGCATTGTGTCTATTATGTGTGAGATAATGCAATTGCATCGGAGTGTACGGGGAAAAATAAACAGCAGGCCTTATGCACAGCTGACAAAAAAAAGCTTTAAAAAGTTACCGCTGACGATCTGACTTGTAAGTGGCTGTCAGCTCGTCAAACATGGTGCTGTTCATTTCCATAAATGCCTTCAACACATTGTAGACTAAAGCCACAATAGCCCTGTGAAACATTAAAAAAGAAAAAAAGGAGTCTATTAGTTTAAGGTGAAATCAAACGTGAAATAAAAATGTCTTCTCTTACCGGCATTTCTGCGATCAATTCTGCTCTCGCAAGTATGATAATGTAAGTTCTTTGATTTCAGTGAAACTACTTTTGATTAACATATTTAAAGGTGAGAATCAGCTTTCATGTCTCTACTGACTACTTAAATGGAGCAAACCAAAACTCTAGGGTAAAAGGTAACAACAGAAAGCTATTACATACAACTACAGACTCTTCCCTCATGCTGTGGAGCAATTCTGAACGCAACTCCAGGGAATCAAATCATCAATGCGGGCAGGAGGAACAGAATTTAAACACAAAGTGGAAATGATTCAGATTTCCTTATGATTTTTCTATGAAGCTGAATATCCAGTGCTTCTATGCAAAATACAAGGCTGTATTTCAAGAGTGATTTCCTTGTACCCATACATTTCATACTCATTTTCACTTTGGTACAGCAAAAAACTCTTAAAAAAACCCCCAAAGTCCTTCAGATGAGTGCTGCAGTATCTGTGCAAAACTGTGTGTGTGTGTGTATACATATATGTAGTATCTATATACTTATATACATAGATATATGTCTCTATGTATAAATTTCTGCCTACTTTGCTTATTGCTGTTCCTGACCTTACCCAAGAACCAATACACCACTGCTTATTTGAATTTGAGTTGCTTAATTGCATAAAACATGACAGGCTGTTCATAGAGGAAGAAGTTATATATAATAATAATTTCAAAAAGGCTTCAAAGGCATTTTGTCCCACAAAGGTTCAAAAAAGGTAGAATCAGTTTACTCTTTTATATCATCTGACTGGATATCTAGCCTAAAATATGCTAGAATTCCCGAAGTAAGATGGATCTGCCAGCAGTCTGATTATCTAGAGGTCAAAATTCCTTACTGGCAGAGTTGAACATAAAGAAACAACAAAACAAGTGAAAAGGGGGAAGGGAAAGAAACAAATCTAAAAAAACTTTCAAAGAATTTGGAACAGATTATCAATCAAGAGACCCACTACTATGGTTGTCATATTCAGACGTGGGGCTGCTTAAGAAAAACCTTTTCATCCAGGAGGCCTTGAATGACCATTACGGGGGCTGCCAGAACCTTTGGAGCTAAACTACACAGCAGACAAACTACGTGCCATTTCCCAAGCACCCCTTGAATGATAGACCTCTGTCTATCATTCACCTCTTTCAATAAACTTCCATTTTTGTTGCCTGCATTTAAAAATGTTCTCATAAAAAAAAAAAAAATCTCTAAATACCTTCTTTATTTTACATGTGTCTTAACCCGGCTTGTGTGTCACAGGTATAACATTCCTGTGGGTATAAAAACGCTGAGAACTGGGATACTGGAATACTCTCATTACCAGAAGCATCCCAGTGCATAGGATAAAAGGTTGGGCAGGAGCACAGGCAGGTGGGAGACTGGTAACGCATCAGCATGCCACGGAAAGTGTCTTTTTGTGATGAACATTAGTTACAGAAGCTTTCCAGTAGCATTAGATTCATCATGAAAGCACACAAACTTGCGGTTTGGCTAGATACAGAACAAAGAGACTGATGCTTTAGAAGATGAAATATTTTACAAATACTTTACAGTAAGGTCTTAAAGCAACTGGGACCTGAACATAGCACAGATCATTAAAAATACGGGGCTTACTAAATGGTAACCTTCTTGACTTAGAAAAACTTTTCAACTGAAGTGTAGAACACATGGCATCTAACTGTAATATTATTTTCCATTAAAACACTATCTACTAGGTCATTCAGTTTAAAAATAAAAATTCCAAATTAACAGGATATCAATATGAAACAATGACTCTGATACTGTGTGTAATAGAGAATGGTTGTATTTAAATAGATGTAGAAAAAACAACCCAACCTAAGAATATACTGATGTTGAGAAAAACACTAGTACCAGAGGTATCAGTATCATTTACGATACAGCCACAAAGCTTTCCAAATGCCAAGTGGTATTCTTCTAGACAATTTACGATCAAGCTTAAGACATTAACTAGATTATAAAAAACTGTGTAGGAGAAATGCTTGATGAGCAATACTTTCTTCAATAACAATGTAACATCTAATTTCTCTTTTTTCCAACTTGTGAGAAGATCTATTTATATCCCATAAGGTACTGATTTTTGTACACATACCAGATAATTAAAAACATTCTGAGACAAGCTCAAGTATAGACTAATTTATATTGGCATTAACAGTTGCACCTGTTAATGCCAGCTTTGAATCTGGATCTCTGCCGTCCAGACATTCTTCAGCAGACATTCCCTAAGTTTATCAGTAGTTATGTCCAACAATAAGATAAAGAGTAATGGCAAAAACTTACGGATTCCAGTGTTCTTTAGAAATCCTGTAAAGGCTGGAAAACATGATGGGAAGTATAACATTTGAATTCTCCTCTATCAAACTCATGATGTATTCGTTATTCCAATAATACAGCGCTCTTTCGGCCACCTTTGAGTCAAAGGAATAAAACATTAACAGGAATTCAGATACCTATAATTTTGTAATTTTCTGAAGGAAAAACAAATCACAGACAAGTTTCACAAAGATGAATTAACAGGAATCATTAAGTTTGGAATTAAAATTCTACTTTAATCAGCAGCATAACATGCATTAATGGAATTAAGTTTTTATCCTATAATTCAGATCCCACAGCATCCACTCTCTCTTTCCCCTGCTGGTATGTTGTTACTCACTGAAGACCAGGTGCAGACACTGCATTAATGCTGCAGCTGTGGAGGGGAAGGGAAGGGAGAGCAGACAGACTTCCCATCGCCCCTTTCCCTCACTCCTGTGACTGTTGTTGGAAGGAAGAGAGCGGTGCTGGGATACCGGATGAAGGAGAAAGGGAAAGGCCCAGTAGCTGGGCTGAGTAAGTGGGGAGAGATCGTAAGTGTGGAGACCAATAATAATAATCACCTTGGGGAGCTAAACTTCCACTGCAACATACTTTCTTCCAAAGAAATTCAGAAGACAAGTATTTCAAACCACGTAACATAAAATATTATTTACATTTGGGGGGGTGTTATATTTGAAATTGAGACTATACTTTTCTAGACAAACAATAACTTCGACCACTGACCTGAAAATGAGGGCTAGAGACACACTTGGCAATTTGTTTAAACAAGGGTTCCTGGATTTTGACAAATTGTGACGGTTCGATTACATCCAAGATTTCCTCCAGCTCTCCTAGGAACATGACCTAAAAACAAGGAAGCAAGCATTGAATATAAAATCTCTGAACCATCTTGATCAGCAAAATGCTGTTAACCCTCAAATTCCACCACTTCAGGAAGAAATGGAAGCCTCACAGGCTCAAGCAAGACCCTCTCTCAAAAAATGTGAACAGTTTACCTTTAGCAGCTTCTGGATTCAGGCTCTTAAAAGGAGGAGGAGGAGGAGGAGTGTGTGCGAATGTTGTTTTTAAAGTAGCCTTTTACCACAAAGTTCAGAATTGCACCAGTATATCTATGCTGAAAATCTAGCCTCATACAGACAAAGCATTTGGCCAAGGCTTAAACTTTGTTAATTAAAGAAAATCTCTGAATTTTACCTCATTTTTGGAAGCAATATTCAAAATAACAGTTTTGCTGTCTCACAAAATCTCATTAGGGAAGCTCAGATTTGCATCAAGAATTTGAAATAAAAATGCAGAGGTCTAAGTGCATCTTTTACATGTTTAGTAGGTAAATGCCAGACAATAAAATATCTTTCATCCTCCCTGGATAAACACTATCCTCACACATAAATAATTCCAAATCTAACAGAGTTTTCCAATCTATCCTCAACTATGTTTATTTTCTCCTTTCTAAACTAAAAAGAAATTCTCTGCAGAAGAACCAGTGCTTATTTTGTGAATAGAAACCATGGTTAATAAACTTCTCACAGTCAAAACTGTCCAGAAAAACAGAATTCAAGTATGGAACATCACCTACAAGAATTAATACCAAGATCCACCACAGCACGTGCTATCTACCTGGAAATATCTAAAGATTCCCTGCCCATTATACTGTAGAGCAAAATAACTCTTACATTTTGTTAATACTAGCATATCACTTACCTCTTTCTGACTGCAGGTTTTTGGCCAGAATTTCATTAAACCTCTAATGACCTAAATTAGAAGGGGAAAAAAGTTAGATTTTTTTTACTTTTCTCACAAGTCATTTATGATGAAGAAAAAAAAAAGTATGAAAGAAATATTTACTGGTTCTGTGAGTGAGGGGTCTTTCTCCAGAAACTGTACTATGCAATACGCCAGCTGTGAAGAGGTAAAGATTTAAGAAAATGAAGTTAGAACATTTCTATAAAGAAAACACAAAAAACAACACAACAAACAAACAGAGAGATTCAAGGCAAGATGCTATATGGCTTTCTCAAAATGCATCCATTTTTAAACTGAGATGCACAGTTTGCACTGTGCAAATCCACTCAAAGTTCAGTTCATAAGAAACAACAGAACATACTACCAAAAAAATTTAGGGTGACAAAGCAGCATATACAATAATAATCAGAGCAAGTTGGAATTCTAAATACAGTCATACAACCAATGTTTTGAAGCTTCTGTTACTCTCTGAAACTGCCTTTTTACACATTTTATACAATCGGCAAAATCATGAAAACTCTCGCAAGATGAGCCGACAGCTAAAACCTGGAATAACATATTTAGAAAGCACAGCTTTATCAGCATAAGACAGACTGCACTATCTGAACATCAGAGAGAAAGGCAATAAGGTATCACTTATCAAAGGAAAAATTACGTCATGAAAGCTGAATGTATAAATGATAAATGACAGCATAAATGCAGTCTTAAGAAATCTATGAGGGAGAATGTAAATGATGATGGAAAAATGTGGGTATTAGTATTCAGAAAGTTGCCAGGGTGAAGAAGAGCCTTGACAGCACAAGACTAAGGAAACCCAAACATCCTCTTGGGAGCA